CCCAAGGTCTAAGCCTTAATGTCCTAAAATATTGAAGTTTAAATTTTCTTACAAAATCATGCAAACAGTTATGTTAGATGGTTTTACTGAATCATAATTATGAATAAAACTCAGTGCAAAAACCTTTGCTATATTGATTCAGTGTTTAATAGTAGTCTTTTCATACAAAAAATTGCATTGTATAGGCCTAACGTTGACCTGCAACAAAAATATTTTCATACATGATAATTTGTGGGAATTTTTCTTGTAGCTTTCAAATGCATGTTTTCAGACCAAAACTTGGTTCTTTGTTATGGAAAATGTCCAGGTTGGCCATATTTTATGTCAATTTCTACTGGACTAAAAACTGAAAGTTTAACATTACATCTAAAATGTGATCTTAAGATGTATTTTTCAGAATTCGCAACACTATAAAAAAAAACCTTTAAATTTCATCTTCAATGCCAAACAAAACTGGTGTATAAACTTTTCTCAATTTTGTAGTAAACTATAAGCAAATAAGTAAGAAACAACATTAAAGTACGTAAATATTGAATTCTTAATTATTTTTTTAGTGTACCTGTTACATGAATAATTACCGGTATAATGTTTTACCCCTACCTGAAAAAGTGTGACTGAAATACACGGCGAGCTCTATAGAACTTCTCCCGATCTAACCAAGGGGGAGCTTTTGTCGTCGTGTTCCCACAGTCTCCAGGAAGTTCCAAACCTTTTTGAAGCTCATCAAAACGACTCATATTTTTGTAAAAAATGCTATATTGTGCACGGACAGACAGCGCCTAATCCCTGAAATAATATAATATAAATATAATATATATATATACATTTGAGATCAAAGGCAACACAGGAAAACATTCATTGAGGAGTCATTAAGCAATTTGAAGACAATATTAAGAAACAACAAAAACAAAAGCCTTTTCCATGGTTTATCTTCTTTTTATTAACTAACGTTAGTTTACCACAGATAGCAGGTATAAAACAACGATCAATTTGTATCTTATTAGGAAAAATGCATTTATTTGAATTTTTAACAATGAAAAACACGGATTAGCGCTCACACCAGCAAGAAAGTTGCTTAATTAGTTGAGAAACACTCACTAATGTGATGAAAAATACCCGTCTTTGTCGTTCCTTTGTTCTTTACACTACGATTAAAGTAGGAAATACGGGTCACCAAGAATTGAGAAATTCTGGGTGTATACAAGTCACAGATCTGAGTCATAAAAAATTCATTTTCAATACGTAACATACATCTGAAACGTGCAGTAGAAGTACAACAATAGACAATTTGCTATTAAAATTTGTTTTGGATTTTTAAAATTGAAACGAAATCAAGTTGTTGCAGATAATTTTGGTTTTCACTAAACATTTTTGGGCTGCTCAAAATAATTTATTACAAATATGTAATAACTTCTACCAAAATGAGGAGTTGCATAGCCTGGCAATTAGGACTCTCGACTCGCATTCTGCAGGTTCGAATCCCTTTCAACGAACATGCTCGTCCTTTCAGCCGTGGGGGCGTTATAATGTGGCAGTTGATCCCACTATTCGTTGGTAAAAGAGTAAGTAGTCCAAGAGTTCCATCGAGTATATCACTGCTAAATTGGGGACGGCTAGCGCAGATAGCTCTCGAATAACTTTGCGCGAAATTCAAAACAAACCAAACCTTCTATCAGAAGAACTTCTAAAAATTCTACAGTAATAATTACAATTGATAATAAAAAGACTTAGCTGTGTCACGCAGAAAATAAGAAAAAATTGTATATTTAATGCTCCTTCTGGGAGTCTCTAAATTAAACCTTTAAAAGTTGCGAATATTCTGAAAATATATCACCTATTCTAGTAACACAAATAGTGTTTGTCAAGGGCCATATTATTCGCTAACTCTCTCATAATTACAATTAATAATAAAAATACTTAGCTATGTCACGCAGAAAATAAGAAAACGTGTATATCTAACGCTTTTTCTGGGAGTCTCTGAATTTAAACTTTAAAAGTTGCAAACATTTGGAAAACATATCGCCTATTATGGTACAACAAATAGAATACGAACATTTCCGTAACTCTTTAACTGTTTGTCAAAGTCATTTTACTCGCTAATAACTCGTCACTCAAAAGTTTAATTACGCTTAATAAATAATAATAATAATAGTGGAAGGATTATATCTACAATTTTCATAACTCCAAAAAATAGTTGTTATTTTGAAGTTGGTTTGGTTGTGAATTTCGCGCAAAGCAAAACGAGGGCTATCTGTGCTAATCGTCCCTAATTTAGCAGTGAAAGACAAGAGGGAAGGCAGCAAGGCGCAAAAAAGAGAACGTTTGGCGCGGGACTCCATGAGTATATTGTCTGAAATCAGGGATGTTCCTCGTATTATTATATCGATTGGCTTTATCTATAATTGATAATGTAAGCTATCTACGATAATATAATCGATAAGATACCGAGATTTCACGTCGATTAGATAATCATCGAAAGTTGATGCTCTTAACATTCCTGTTCTGTCGTATCTGAGGGTCTGCTTAATTACTCCTGGTATTAAGCGAAAGGCCTCGTCGGCACTAGACATGACAGATACAGTGCGGTTTACATATCGTTATACAATCTTTTTCACTTTCACTTGTAAGTTCTTAAAATCCAACCGTGTTAAACTAATTCATCGAAGAAACGCCTCTATCTTATTGTAACTTGTATTTAGCGAGTTTTAATAAACTTTTAAAAACTTTTCTTCATCTTTCGTCGTTGAGCCCCTCCAATAATTATTTGCTTCCGATACCGCTGCCTTAAACAACTTTTAGATCTATGTCATAAACACTAATATAATGGTTAGCAGTAATTGTATCTAGAATTTCTACGTCTAATGTTATAGATGAAGAATACTCACTCAATGACTTTCTCCCGCATTTTCCGCCCTTCCCTAGTGAGACCCTCAGCAACTATAATAAACTAACCGCAAAGCGACGTCGCGTCAGTGCGTGAGATTTCAAGTACGTTTATGCAACCTACTTTACAAACGTGAAATGGGGAGTTGTCTTTCTTTAACATAATACACAGTGACAAAAAACGCGTTCGTTAACCACCAGTTACAAAACGCGTTAGTTCCGCTAGCTCACTTGTAGTTCGTCTTTTCGTGACGAAACGACACTCGTTCGTCAATTTCCAGTTTCGTCATTTTTTAAACTTAGTTACATCAAAAAACCACTATCTTTGGACGTGGTCTTCTTTCGTTATGAGCGGAAAATTCAAATTCGTAGCGACTTGTTGGATAAATGCCTAAACGCGCGAGGAGAATCTGACGTCGTATGTTTGAGATGTTTAATGGACTGCAACTGCCCGAAAAATGCTTCAGTATAAAGTCGAAACGTCGTCCCCCTTTTCATTCAGTTGCAGTCCATTAATCTTCTCAAACCTACTATGTCTACTCTGCCTAAAGTTCTACTGAAATAGACTGTGACGTTATATTAACAAACGTGCCCGAACAGTATAGGACCGAAACAGATATAATAACAAGGCTACGGCCATCCGCAACAACATGAAACCCGATGGTTCGATTTTAATTATCATGATAGGGTATTTGCCTACCACTGACGAGCATGTGCGGTGACGGGAGTCGAACCGGCAACCTTCTGATTGCGAATCGAGCGTGTCCTCACCACCCGGCTATGCCAGGCCTAAAATAGACATGGTGTGTCTCTATTTCTCGTTAAACTTGTCCTTTGTAAAAAAGATAAAGTCTCTTCTAATCAGATATTCGTAACCTGAAATGCTAATACAGTGTTTATGAAACAATCATAAGAATATATGAACTATCAAAAACGTTCGGCCTATTTCAGATAAGATGCTTCTAGAATCATTTTGTATTCGGTCATAAACATTTTATTTCATATTCACATTAAAATGGGTTCTAACACTGCTTGTGCACACTTCTTTTCAGTTAAATAAGGAGTGTGGAGCAAGTATCCTTGCACGTTTTTTAATCAAATCAGTATATCTTTTCTATTTTAATCTTATTATGGTAAACAGTTACTCAGATACCTGACAATTATGATGAAAAAAAGCCTGTTAACTTGGGACTTTTAATTTTCCGCTTAACAACATTTTTAGCTGCGACATAGCGGCTCATAGAACGGCTCCGAGATTTTGTTTGTTTGTTTGTTGTTTTTTTGTTTAGTTTTTCAAGTACAAACGTTTAGCTCATAGTTCCATCATCTCTTGACCGATTTGAGATTTAATTGAAGTTTTAGACTCGGGAAGTCAAACCCTTTCGATTGATATATTTGATCACGTCCAAGGTCTCATAGATTAATTTACTATAATCCTGCCAAAAAGAATTTCGATTTAAGGGTAGGCCCGTAGAGATCCTAATGAGTAATATAATTGAATCGGGCATACGAGCGCCTCACGCTTGGTATTGCTGGCGCACAAATATATAGCTAATAAAAAGGAAAAAGTCTCATAGATTAATCTATTCTAATCCTGCCTAAAAGACTTTCATGTGCCACAGCTATTGAGGATTCCCTCTTGTTTAAAATTTGAACCGAATGTTTATATTCGAATCATTCCAAGAAACTGAAGTAACAAACTGAAATACACCAAGCTCAGTTCTATTTCAGTGTCTTCACCACCTCATGCTATAATCTTCTCTCTCTCTCTCTCTCTCTCTCTATATATATATTGTTACGACAGCGGAAGTCACGTGAATCTGGTAACACATAATGAGTATTTGAACGTTCCTGAAGGCTCGAGTAATTGCCAGACGCCCTCTATTTTGTATATATAAGACCGGCGAGAAGTGACGATATAGTTAATTGACTAATTGCAGACAGACAGATAATCGAGTCAAGCCATAAGTAAAGTGCGTGAATCGTTGTGAATTATATAGCGTGTGTTTAAGCTAAAGTGACTATGGAAATTAAGTGTATTGCAAAGTTGCATTGAGAAAGAATAAACTAGTTTTATTTAAAAAAGGACTTGTATCCCTGAAGTTTTTCGGAAGGAATTTTTATGGGAAATTAACAAACAACCAGAGACATAACAAATTGGTGTCAGAGAGTGGGACGAAGAAAAAAAGGAAGAAGAAGATGGAAACCAGAGGTGGCAAATCAAACTACAGCTTAGAAGATTTGATGG